ACGACGACTACTACAGCTATTCGCTATTAAAGTTAGCTACCACCACCATGGACCACGACTACAACGACGACGGCTACTACTAAACTAAAACAAGAACTACTACTGCTACTGCTACTATCGTGGCTGCTTGCTGAGATCTGGCATCACGATGCCGGTTGCTGGTCTACACTTTCGTGTGCGACTCGGCGGCTGCGAACCTGTGCATGGTTCACAATGTCGGCGAAGCATGTCCGCCAAATGCATTGGAGTGCCTGGCTTGCTTAGCGTGTGTGTTCCAAGTGATCAGTGTTTTTCCTTGCGACTCGCGACTTTGTAACGCGACAGGTCATGAAGCAGCAGTGTATGATGCTCGGGTCTCAATAGGGAGTTCATTCGTGCAACCGTACATCGGCTTAAGGCGCCGCGCCTTGCAGGCACCAGGCGAACATCACTTCCGAGATCATGTGGAAGACTCTCGATATTCTGCCTGATCTGTGGGGGCCCGGGATCATCTGTCTTCCGTGTTCTCATTCTGAAATGAGGCAGACTTTCGAATTAGGGCATTCGACAATTGACTTCTTTGACAGTAGTAGTTTGACAGAATTTGACATACCAATACCAAGGTTCCGGCTTTCGTCAATCCTGGCGCAGGGCAGCCTCTTCTACGAGCTGCTCTGCGTTGCAAGGCAGCTGGTACAGTCTGCTAAGATTGTGTACGATCCGTCACGTACTCAGCTGTGTTTGCACGCAGCACGCGTAGGTGATTGCCAGAATGATTGAACTTGAGGCCGAATCCATCTCACATGGAGCGTGCCCGACACATCCTTGAGGAAGCTGTCAAGCGTAGTGTGGGGCTCGGTGCCACGTGTGTGAGAAACCGTGGGTGATTGGCTGACCCATGAAGGTCCGACGCCGACTGCTCAGGATGAGCGCCAAGCTTCGGAGGCGAGGACCCTCGTTGTCGCGGAGTCGTGTTAGTTGTAAGTTGAAACCAGAAGTGTCAGGTGTCAGAGTTTGTAACCATTCGTGACATCGCGAGGTCTTGAAACACAACATGGAGGTGTTGCTGCAGATGGCCAACGGCGTGCCATACTCAGCAGCAGCAGACATTACGACTGGCTGACTGATCCTC